GAGTGGATGGAGGGGGGGTTAGGGGAGATAAGAGGGGAGGGAATGGAAACCTCCGGGAGCGGCCGCCCTCCGCTCGCGGTAAACACCCGCCGCCGGGGTAATCTGATAACAGCGATACGTATAATATCGTGACATATCGTTTATTATTATTATACTTCGTGCGGCATTTACACGCTCGTGTGTACGCGACTGCTGCGACGACGACGACGACGACGACGACGCTTTGCATATTTTAAACGCCGTCGTTTTGAATAGAAATCGCTTATTACAAAATAATTGAATTAATTTTCGTCGTTCGCGTCCTAGAGACTACTGCGGTGGTATCACACTCTGCGCAGTCCTCGTCACGGAGGTTGAACCCGCTTACGCGAGCGCGCGCACACGCACGCACAAAACTTACCACTTGTATAATGCACACACGAGTTACGCACTTACACAGGCGCGCGCTCGCGTATTATGCATACACACACACACACACAGACGCGCTTATATTTGGGTAACACAATCGGGCGCGAACACTATGCGTCGTCGCCGGCGGTTTCGCGACCTCGTATCTAGTTTTATGCGTTCAATTACCCCTCATCGTATTATTAATAAATTTAATAGATAGACGAAAATTAAGTCGGATTCCTATTTTTTTTTTTATTTTTTTTTTTTCATCGCGGGCATAATATTATAATACGCCGCGATCGTCGTGTATAACCGGTCGTATTATATTATTATCATAATAATAAGTTTTCGACCGGTTTTTTTGTCTACTACGCACACATTCATACGCCGATATTATGTGTATAGCATTATTACTACGATCATTACGATACTATTATCGTCGTATTATTATTACACGTGCGTACGAGGTACTCCTCTCGGACTTTTCGGGACTTATTATTGTTTGTACACCCGCGACCGCAGTAAATGTTATCGCGTTTATTACAACGTAGCCACAGTAAAAAAAAAAAAAAATGAAATAAAATAAAAATAACAGTGCGCTTGCCTAACAAGTGTGTTATAGACGCGGCGATTCACAAATAACGCTCGCGCGCGCGCTAACGGCCGACCGTTCGTCACCGTATTGTTATTACAGCGGCGCGGAGGAACGATAAACGTTCTGACGCGATAAACCGTCATTTGCGCGGGCAACAACGCGTATCTCGACCGACGCACGTTCGACACAGCGCTACCGCGGACGCCGGACATCGACGTCGGTACGTCGCTAACGGACCGGAGCTCTCGCCCGGAAACGTTACAGGCCCTGTACGGGTGCGAGAGTGGTATTGGTTTTATTACAATATGACGGAGCTTTGCTCCTTTTTCTTCTTCTTCTTCTTCTTCTCCTCGCTTTTCCGCCGACAACTCTTCTATCGGCGATTTCGCTCCGGTTTTCGAGTACGCGGCGCTGTTTTCCGAAAGCGAATCTGACTAGTGTAACATATAATGTACCGCGACAGTTCTTTATTTATTTCATGTTTTTTTTCCCAACGCGCGTCTCGACGACTCGATACAGAACCGCGGGTTGTTATCGAGAGGACGCACGATACCCGCATGCAGGCGCGCATCCAGAGTTTTATTTCGAGAGGGGGGAGGGAGGGCACTTATCGAAATTTATAAACATTGTCATACGGTAAAATAAACAAAGCCGTCCTAAGATAATGGGGAGCAGCCAGCGCTGTTGTACACAAGTAATTTAAAGCATATCAGGCTGTGAACAACGATGAATCATATTGCTAACGTAATAACGATTCTGATGGAAGTTCGGTTTAATAGTGTTGCTTTGTCAACGATATAATATGTACACGTCAGATTACGGTAAAATAGTTACGTAACGTGCACTTTATATTTCTTTTCATAATATTTGTTTGATGTTGTGTCTGTTTTCCTACGTTTTCCCGGTTTTCCCGGTTTGTTGAGAAAACTCGCAGCAAAATCGCTGGTTGAAAATTTTTGCACGGGTAAAAAAAATGGTAATAAAATTTCGCATATTTTCACGTTTTTTGTCGATTTTTCAAGTTTTATGAGAAAACTCTTGAGAAAATCGAAAAATTACTTCTTTAAAGTACTTTTCTACACTTATTTCCTTTCAGAAAAGATGCTACGCTTAGAAACCCAGGCAAGACTTCTGATAGAAAAGTTTTTAACATATAAAAAAAAATAATAAAATAAAATAAACATCTTTTGTAAAACCATAAGCTTCTTCGCTCCACTCAAAAACAACTATAGTAATTTTTTATTTTTATTGTTAATAACATATTATATAATAATTATGCACGTAATTAAATGTTACGAATATATCGTATGTGTGTGGTGTTTGTGTTCGTGTAGTATATTAAAATATTAACATTATTGTTGTGCACAGTCTCGGCAGTGGTCTCCGGGGAATACGGCGGACGTGGGAAAAAAAAACAAACGAAATAAAAAATACACGTCATCAGTGACGGCGGTTAAACAACGAACAGGAAAAACTTTACTGTTCTGTATATTGATCAGCTGTCGACCATACGGTTATTTTTTTAAATATAAAGCGAGAAATGTATGTTCGTTTTACTGCGCAGTTTTTTAAATATTTTTTTCGTGATTCTCTCCAATTGTAACTTTTCAGAAACTTTCTTGTATAGCGTTTTTGACGCAGTCAAAGTACATTGAAGAGGTCATTTTTCTAACAAATGAGAAACACCAACGTGCTTTTTCGTTGATTTCCGGAGTTGCCGCGAACAACCAGAAGGAAAAAAATACGACTGCTTTTTTGCTCAGAATCGTTTTGAACCAGAGACGGTTTACGTTTCCGTCACGGATATAAATCGAATCACTTCTACATTATAATATATCGTCCCGTCCGCGACTTCACTCCCGTGAAAAAGAAACAACGGCAGTGCGGCACACTCATCGGCGATACCGGCCCTTATTTTCTTCTCCTTTTTTCACCGATACGATTTCGTATATTTATTTAAACGGTGTTTATGCAAAAGAGCTCTAGTTTAATTTGTTCATATTTCATATATTAACGTGTTTTGTATGCAATTTCGTGTCGCGTCTACTAGTACCGCTATAGTTTAAACGGGTCCGGGTCAAAATCCCGACAGTCAAAATCCCGACACCGAAATCCCGACAACGAAATCCCCACACCGGAATCCCAACAGTTACAGTCTCTACAGTTATAATCCCGACAGGGTCGAAATCCCGAAGTGGTCAAAATCTCGACAGTTAAAATCCCGATTCGGTCGAAATACCGACTGCAGTTACATACCGTACAATATTGAAGGGGCTTTCTTTGTAATATTTGTATTTGTATTTTTTTTTTCTTTTACCTAAAATATGTACTCTACTTTATTATAATGCGACGCGTTATTGTTATGTGTATTGATTTTATTATATTAATTGTAAATTTAAAAAAATAGTATAACTTGTATAATTTTTTACAAGTTGATAACCGGTATAATTTTAAGGGACATACGTAGGACCGATTGATATCTTGTGCGTTTCATCACGAGCCGCGATACCGAACAGAATTAAGTTCGTGAGAAAGGGCACGAAAGTCAATCAATATTGTTCTTGGTGTCAAAGTTTGTCGACGCGAGCCCTTTTGCACAAAAACCGTCCGTTTGCATCGTCGCGCGGGCCGGCGGCGGCGCGTGTTCCGACGCGCCGTACACGCAAAACGCAACGCAATCGTACGACATTTTTATTTCGTTATTTCTGTACGCCCACGCGATAGTATTATTGTATACGCGCGAGTATATCGCGTTGTTATTATCGTGGCGTGTGCACGACACAAACGGATCTCCCTATCCGGGATTTTACGATCCGTGTAACAGCCGTACGCGGCTACAATATAACGGCCGTACAGGTAGGTATATTACATTTTGTCGTTATTGTTTATTGACCGTCCCGTTAGCTCTACGCCCCGTGCCCAGTGTACGCGTTACCAGTGGCGGCGCGAAGTGTTTCCGCCTCCGAATCGCCGGATTTAATATTCCGCCCGATCTCCCCGCCACCCGCAAAAACGCCCTCGAAAATCGACAGACCGGCGATAAAAACCGAGTTTCCTCGCGGGTCTTCGGGGAAATCCATCGGATTCCCGCAGTCTGAAATTCTTTAATTTGTTTTATTGACATTATTTCGGTAAAAACATAATAATTTTCGTGGTATTTCCGAACAACACCCGGGGGCACCCGCGACCCGCCCGTCCGGATATTCGCGCGGTTCAAATGTACCTCCTCCGTGACGTCACCGTAGTGGTACTATAGTATACTAGTACAATACTATCACTATGCTGATAATCGTGTCGTTATCGTCGTTTATTTTGGTTTTAGAGAAAAATCACCTGTATCGTAAAATTAAAAGCGGACAATATTTCGGAGGGCGGAACTATGCGTTTTTCCTATTATTCCGGATATAATAACGTTCAACACATCGATTAGGAATAAAAACTACTTCATTGTTTTTAAATGGCTGTACAATTTTAAAAAATCAATTTAAAATAGAAACGCATCGTCGTCTTGCCCTCCGAAATATCGCCCTCTTTTAATTTTATCATAGGTGCTTTTGCTCTAAAACCAAAATTAAGCGAGTTTTCCTCTTAAGAGTTTTCTACTTAAGAACTAATTTTTTTCTGTTCTTGTAGTACAGGTTAATTACGCGAACTCTAAATAATATTTATTAACTAGTACAATTTTATTTCGGTGTGGGTGGATAGGCGGGTGTTAATTATACATCACGCTATACGTAATATTATGCAACACTTGGGCGCCACTGTATTACATTACAATTAATTAAAATAATTATACCCTTCACTAATTGACGGCGGCGGTACTTTAATAGTATATTAATAATTAACAATCGAACAAAAACAAACAACATAAATAACAATCGAACACAAATGGACAGTATACAAAAAAAAAACACTGTTTGACGGGCTGATTTGAATCTCCTCGGGCGTCCGTCGACAATAATCGAATGCGCGGCGCCTACTTACGAGCTGCTCCTGTCGGAAACAGTAGTCGGTCTTAATGTCTTCTGGCCGATACCCAAGAAGCGGTCCTCGCTGCGTAGGCCGGAGAAGAGATGTCCTCGGTGCGGACGGCATCTTCCCGGGTCACGGAGAAGGTTGTACTCCGGTCTCGGCTTTTTCGTAGCCCAGAGTACAGCTCGTCATACCGGCGGTGATGGCGACAGCGGCGTTTTTTCCGCGGGCCACGGGACGGTCCGCAAGGGTCGGGACGATGATTTCTCCATTTCATAGACCGGTAAAGAGCAGATATACACAATCGGTAGTCTCTTTTGACCTGAAATTAATTTTATTGAGTTTAATTTTTTTCGATTATCCATATTTAATACCTGGCTGCTTCGTAAGACAAAATAATTTATTAAATTATTTAATAATCTGTGACCCCAAGTATGTCCCCAGTGGAGGGAATCGGGCGTTTACGAAGTCGAAATAATACAACGACTGAATACTAGGGAAGTCCTTACCTACTGCACCTCTGCACACCGTCGGCTGTGCCCAGGAAATTTTCGATTTTAACAAGTCGTGCAGATAAAAGCGAACAACCGCGGCGAGAAAACTACGAGGGAAACCGAAGCCCGGTCTCCCCGATACACCGACCATCGGGTAAACAAAAGGCCAAAAGAGAGTTTTCGTATTATGTTTGATCGGAGCGATAATTCTAGCGGACAAATCGTTTACGCCGTTTAATACCTAAATATAGTAAAAACTAGGACGCTCAGAAACCGGGTACGATTGAAATTTCGACTCGCGGGGCGTACACTGTACCACAGTCTGGTATACAGTGTGGACGGACGAATACATTTTATTTCCGAACAACTATAAAGGCGGCCGTTTTCAGAAGGGTCTCCGCTTACCGAAGTAGTCTGGGAAATGCCGGCGGCGGCCGCAGTCGACTTAAGAGGGACGACCTTCCCGGCGGCAAAGGCTCGCCGGAACACGGGCCGTCCCGTCGCGGCCCGCGGACGAAGCGCCACCGTCGTCATCGCCGCCGGGACGACGGGCTGTACTTCGGTCTACGCACAAACCCGCGACCGACCGGAACACAACCGTTCCCCGTGGCCCGGGAATACGCGGTCCGCACCGGGGTCAGCTCTTCCCCGGCCCGCGCGGTGAAAATCGCTTCTTGAGCGCCGGCCGGAAGAACGTCGGAGGAGATCTAAAATGCGAGGTCCGTCGAAGAATCACGCGTGTTAGTTTAGTAAGTTCAACGAGAAATCGGTCTGCGAACATTAGTCATAATATTATTATAAAATACATTTTTTTTTTTTTTATCAAATGCGTATAATATTATGCACATTAGGACCGAACGCTGCTTCCGACATGGACAACTCGCCGCGCGCTATCGGCGCGGTCGTCTCGTCATCGGGCTCGTAAGTAGGCGCGGCGCATCGTCGACGGTCGGCCGAGTCGTCCGTATCGGCGGCGCGTCTGTCGAACGGCTTTGTTTCTGTCCTCTGCGCGCTGCGAACGTCCGGTACTCGAAACGCCGTACGCGATTCCGGCGGCCGGCGCCGCGCACCGGCCCGCACGGAGTAACAGCGGCACGTTTACCGGAGTATTGAATCCCATCGCCATAATTATTTACGCACGAGTCGGAAAAAGCGCGAGAAAATAATACAAATGAAGCTACACTATAGCGAAAATTGTATAATCGTTCGCGTCCTATTATCGCAATAAAACCGTATAACGCTCGGACCGCACGCACAATATTATGTTATAACTCGCGCGTAGTTGCCCGGGCGACGAGTGATACGCGGTCAAACCAACGCAACAGACTGGGGTTTTTTTTTTTTTTTATCTTACGAACCGGTGACAATTATCCCGGGGGATTTTAAACGAATTTGATTTACGTTTCTTTTTTATAATCTTTGTGGAATCCGGTTAAGGTTTATTGATAAAAACCGTTACTCCTACTCTACCATAATAATACGAGAGCTGATCAAAAAGTATCGAGACTAGTACAGTATCACTCGGAAACCGAGCGGCGAAGAGCAGTAGGATTAGTTTCACTTGCTTCTATGACTTTTACTGAGTACATTGGTTTTTATTGCTTCCCTATAAAATTCTTCGTTTTGATTTGACGATATTTTTCTAAAATTTGTTTTTCACGTTTGGCGATTTCGTAATGAATCCAAAAGAAGCGGAACTCGCTGCCACTCGAGGGCACATTTTCAGTTTTTCAATTGATATTTAATGGCAAAAACCATGAAATGCAACCAATGTTGCATCCCTCTGAAACTGGAAACAAATGCAGACAAATTTTCTAAAATCTCCAAATCTGTCAAGTTACTCTTCTTTTGGGTCTATTACAAAACCGCCAAACTCGAAAAATATATTTTACAAAAATATCAGTGAAATCAAACCGAAGAATTTTATAGAGAAGCAATAAAAACCAATGTACTCAGAAAAAGTCATAGAAGCAAGTGATACCAATCCTACTGCTCTTCGATGCTCCTTTTCCGAATGATACTACCAGTCTTGATACTTTTTGATTAGCCCTTGTATACTATTGTCTTAATAGTCTAATGACTATTGTCTTTCAAATGGGAACTTCCTTTTCGAACACAGATTCGAATAGTGACAATTTTTCTTTGTAATGTCTATATGCAAAACACTAATATCGGATTTACCGTTTGCGAGTTATAACCGTTTAAAGTCTAGCGCGCGTTCGCCAAACACGCGCATTAAACCCTCGAACAAATTGAATTCGTCAACATTTTACAGTTTTGGTGTGTAATTTTATTTATGAACCACAGAAATCCAAAATCGTGTTACGAGAGGTAGAATACTTTTTGTTTTACGCGCTATTTAAAAATAAGTCAAATCTAAACTCGTTCTTATCAAACCGCGAGTTGTACTACGCTATCGTTCTAAAAGTACGATGTATTTATGCTGATTTACATCGGGAAAGGCGTTTAAAATGAGGTGACCTGTGAGATAAAACCGATAAAAATCGTATTTAGAATGTTTGGATATCAAAATCGTTAAAGCGACGACAGTCCGGCGGAGAGGTCAAAGATTTATGTATCCGACGAGGACCGGTGCACGCGAGCGAAAAAAGAGAATCGGAGAAGATTATGACGTGTTTCGCAGGTAATTTTTTGTAGTTTTCTTGTTAAGCGAGAAACACGGGCGATTGTTTGCATAATTTTCGATGATTTCCGGATTGCTTAGGCGACGAGGGAGAAACGTCGACTGTAACAGTACAATGTAGTCCATGATCGTTTACGGTCGTTTATTGTTGCGTAAGCCGAATATAAATTAAATTACTCTACACATTACACCCTCCCTTCCGCGTTTCTTTTTAAACCAGTGGCACGCCCATCAGCACTGTGAGCAGTATAATAGAAAAGAAGAAGACTGTGGATTATTTTTTATGAATATGTATCGATCTCGTCGGTGGCGGTCCGTCTTTCTCCCCGGCTCTGGTCGCTCGTTTCAATGAGCCAAAACCGGACTTCGTTCCGAGGAATGCAAATCGTTTTGCGTGCGCGCACCACACACAAAACGCACTCGCACTCACACCGGCGACTGTCACGCGGCCGTTCGCATACAATAATAATTATTATGGAGAGGGCGCCCTTGAGACATCTCTGTCCGAGATAAAGAGCGAGTCGATGAGAATTCGGTAGTTTTCAGAATACTATAGCAAAGTTTTGCCGTTCGTCTATTAGTAACACATATCCGTTACACAATCCGTCGCGCGGCTACCGCGCATGATGCCGATCTCCTCGTTCGCTCGTTTTTCCGACTCGTCTCGGTTCCGCGTCCGACCGCACCCGCCAACAAAAACGATTCTGAACGGAACTCGGTTAACAGTGTTGCGTCGAAACGGCCCGTGGTCGCCGTCGCCCGGACACTCGTATGAGTGCGTAAAAATATTACAATAAACGAAAACCGGACTCGTCGGACTTATTCGCCGGTACATTATGTTGTATAAATTATACACGCACTAACCGGGGGGGGGGATGGGGGATTTCGAACAAACGCGCGCGCACAAAAGAAGAAACGACGAAATCCGTCTCGCGAGAACAATAACGTAAAGAAAAAAAAAAAAAAAATGTCACACCGCTCATCTCTGTTCCAAGGCCCGTCGTCGTTGCGTTATTAAAACGTATACATACATATAATATAAATTTCTACATAATATCATACGCGCGCGGGGACCTATTAATATACTCGTTTCGAATGTTAAAACGTAATTTTTTTTTTTACTTGATAATCGTTGATGTATATTAGAAAAAAAAAAAAAACAGAAAAAGCACCGAGCTGACCGATTATAATGATTTCTTTTTTTGGCACCGCTCGCCGGATTTACGCGCGCGTTACCCGTACGCGCGCGCGTCGCAGTGGAACAAAAGCGAAAATATTTTTTTTTTTATTGTTCGTTTTTTTTTTTTCGGGAATAAATTAAAACCGGCCGTCGCGGTCGCCGCCGCCGCCGCGGCCGCCGCTCGTCCGTTTCATTCATTCGCCGGCGGGCCGTTTCCACCGCCGCCGCCGCCGCCGCCGCCGCCGGGGGCCTCGTCTGCGACCGGCGGCGGCGCGATAACCGCTGTTGAATGAACAAGTACGCCGGGCCCGCGCGCGTACGCGACAACGGCGCGACGGCTAAACGCCGACAGTAACCCCCCCCACACACACACACACCCCTCCCCCACCATCCCGATATCGCGTTATTATTGTCGTCGTCACCGCGCCCGGCGGTGGTACAGTAAATATTACTATCGCATAGTATTCGAATATTCGAACAAATATCGTTGGGACGAGGGCGCTGCGCGACCGCCCGGACGCGATTCCGTTCGGCCGCGCGTCGGAAACGTATCGGGGAAATCGTCGCGGGCCGCCGCCGCAGTGCGGCCTGTCTCGGGTTTATTATTCTGCGGATGGCTCGCGGGATTTTTTTTTTTTTTCACGTTTTATTACTATTACGGCGCGCGATAAACAAGCGCGGAATTTTTTTTTTTCGCGCGACGTCCGCGGCGTAGGTGCCCCTCCCTCCACGCCCCCCGCCCCCCCCGTAGACAATGCAATACGACTCGACCTGGAGTGGTCGACAACACCGGACGACGACAACGACCGGCACGCGGATATCATAAAATTCGGTGCGGCGTTTTGTGCGATATCCGTTTTTTCGTACACCTATGCGGTATTTAAGGCGGCAAAAAGGCGCGCGCGGTACTTACACATTGTCGTCACGTGTCCCGAAAATCCCGTACAGTCTCTGACACACCGTCACACGTGCACAACACTGCGAATCGCCGCGGAATCCGTTAAAAAACCCGAGACACAAACACACACAGAGAGAGAATGAATCCGCCGAACATTACAAATACACGTATGCGTAACATTATATTATGACGCGCATAGGAATGGGAATTTTCTCACTTATTCTTTTTTTTTCCCGCGGCGATAATTTTCGATAACGCCCGCGATTGCCCCCCGCCCGGTAACGCGCAGACGAAATTTTAATGGACAAACAACGTCCGTGCGGGGGCGTCGTTTGAGGGATTCGGGTTCGGCAGCACTATTTTTTAAAATTCTGAGTGGAACCAAGAAGCTTATGATGGTTTTACAAAGATGTTTATTTTTTTTATTTTTTTTGAAATCTGACTGGTAAGATACTTTAACGAAGTCGTTTTTTGATTTTCTCGGGAGTTTTCTCGACAAATGGAAAAACCGGGAAAAAGGTAGGAAAAACAGGAAAATCAGTACAATATTAAACAAATATGTATAACGCCTATTTAATTAATTTACCACAACATAAAATATAATATATTGTTTACAAAACAACACTATCAACTAAACTCCACTCAGAATCGTTTTTTTCGTTGCTTACAGATATGCATTAAATTCCCCTCTGTATGAATGTATCCTACCTTCCCAACGTCCCACCTACAACGGTGGGTGCGAAGTATGCCCGTTTTTTTCTAATTGTGTTTTCGACACGCGTGAAACGTTACGACTGCGCCGGCTTCGATAA